ACTGTGTGCATACTATACCCCAGTACCAGCCTGGAGCCTGGTAGACTTGCTGGGTGGCTAGATCCAGAAGAGAGATAACAATTACTACAGCTTAGCTCTCAGGAAGCCACATCCATAGGAAAAAGAGGGAGAGTACTACAGTAAAGTAACACCACTTGGGACAAAAGAATCTGAACAACAGCCTTCAGCCCTAGACCTTTCCTCTGACAGAGCCTACCCAAATGAGAAGGAATCAGAAAACCAACCCTGGTAATATGACAAAATAACGTTCTTTAACACCTCCAAAAAAATCACATGAGCTCATCAGCAGTGGATCCAAACCAAGAAGAAATCCCTAATTTACCTGAAAAAGGATTCACTAGGTTAGTTATTAAGCTAATCAGGGAGGCACCAGAGAAAGGCAAAGCCCAATGTAAGGATATCAAAAAAGTGATACAAGAAATGAAGGGAGAAATATTCAATGAACTAGATAGCATAAATAAAAACAATCAAAACTTCAGGAAACAATGGACAAATAGAAAACCAAAATGCTCCGGAAAGTCTCAGTAATAGAATCAAACAAGTAGAAGAAAGAAATTCAGAGCTTGAAGACAAGGACTTTAACCCAATCCAACAAAGACAAAGAAGAATATGAAAATATAAACAAAGCCTCCAAGAAATCCGGGATTATGTTAAACGACCAAACCTAAGAATAATCGGTATTCCTGAGGAAGAAGAGAAATCTAAAAGTTTGTAAAATATATTTGGGAGAATAATTGAGGAAAACTTCCCCAGCCTTGGGTAGGAAGGGGGTGAGGGATAAAAGACTACAAATTGGGTGCAGTGTATACTGCTCGGGCGATGAGTGCACCAAAATCTCACACATCACCACTACAGAAGTTAACCAACACCAACGTATGAGACATTTATTTATTTAAGCACAAACATACAAGACATTTGTTTATTTATTTCCATAGGTTATTGGGGAACCTATGATAATAAATGTTTCATGTTTGTGCTTAAATTGGTCCTTAATACTTGCCTTTCAGTATTCAAGTTTGGATTATAAAATAGTTTTGGTCTTTTTGTACTTTCTACTCCAAGCCTATATGATTATATAATGGTGAGTAAAATTGTTAGGCCAGATATGTGGTTCTAGGAAATTATGTAAAGCTGTGCTGTAGTATATTCTTTTCTACATTTTTTAAAGTCATTTTGAGCTTGGATTTTGAGCTCCTATTTCTCAAGATGGGGTTTATGCTTTTATAATGTTATACTTAGCCCTTGTTTATTTTCATCTCTGAGTTTGAAATTGTGGTTATATTGGCAGAGGGAGGTTGGGGTTTTAATTATGTAACCTGTTAGAGGAAATGTTAAGCTTCTGTTTCTTTAGGGTAGGCAGTGAGAGATTTATCAAGATAAGGAAGAAAAATAAATCCTAAAGTTAATATTCTATGCATGGTGATATCACCCATACTAAAGCCAAAGAGGGCATTATCCTATCATTCTCATCTCCAAGAACTCTCTTGGCACATGCTTATTCAGTTAGAGATAAGCCAGCCCTTTCTTTTGTATATATTTTTTAAGAGAACAAATTTACTTTGCTTTTGAGTTCTCCTGGCTCTGGGTAGCTTATTTTTTTTAGCCTTATTTTCCCCAATTTATATGGAAATAGATATCTTCACTCCCCAGGATTGTTGTAACAAGTAAGTGAAAAGATGAAATGAGGTGACTCAGGAAAAAGTACCTGGCTCTGTGTAGTCGGTACACTGTATGTGTTACAGTCATTCTTATTGCTGAGAATCCACAAAAGAATGAGTTAAATAATGAGGACCCTTTCATCAGGGTTTTTGAGTAAATTTTTTAAAATAGAAGGTAGTATTTTGTGTAAATACTAAACCCATTGATCACCTCTGCAGAATGTAGGAAACAGAGTTGCTAATTCCAAAAAAACAGCATATATGTTGAGAAAAATATACATTATATATATGGCTTAGGCAATGTAAAATTTCATGAATATGTTCCTTTTCATCTTAAAACTTGTGATTAAAAAAAAAAAGTTGACATTACTATAAAGAATTATTATCGATTATTTCTCTTGATTTACAGAGTATTGTTACAATCACATTTGAAGTACCAGGAAATGCAAAGGAAGAACAGCTTAATGTATTTATTCAGGTAAATTCAGTTAAAAATTGATTAATGATTTTAACTGATTAATGATTTATCAACAGTTTTGTTACATAGTTGTTGCTATTAGCAATGGTTGGTCTTATTAAAATATGTCACTTGATACAGAATCTCCTGTGGGAAAAGACTGTGAGAAACAAGGACAATCAGTGCATGGAGGTCATAAGGCTAAAGGTACAGTAGACTTTTAGACAAAGTCCTTTTTCTGGCTGTTATAAAAACTATATTTGGTTCTAAACAGAAACACTGGTTTTAGTACAAATAACCTTTGTCTGCTTTCATTTTTCTTTATTATTTTCATTGCTGAAAAGGAGCTTTGGAAATCACTGCATAAGGCATGATTTATTTGCACAGCTTCCTTTAGGGTTGCAGATAGAACAACCTATATGCTTTGAAATGTCACCTTCTGCTCTGTATTTCCAGATACAGAAAAATAATGTTGCAAATTTTGCTGCTGCTGAACGTTATGCTTCTCGATGCATTTAGCAGACACTAAACGTTTGTCATACTCTAAACAAAGTTGCAAAGGACTAGAAGAACTCTTGTGCTGTGTTTAGAAACCCACTCATATGACTTGATATTTGGGTATTTATGTCATGAAAGGTGTCTCTTCCAGGAAGCAGTGGTTCTAGGTGTTTGCTTAACTAGTCAGCTGTTGAGTGTCTACTTTTGTGTGTCCACAAAGTTTTTGGTATATTAAGAACAATATTTCAAAGAAATTAATTTCATCCCCATAGGAGCCAATTTGTCAGATAATTTGTTTCTCATTGCTACAAATCAACACAAAATGAGCTTTTATTCAGTTAGATATAATAGTTTTTCTTTATTTCATCATTGTCCATTGTTTGCAACCTATTTCTAAAACAGATTGTTTAATATCACCAAAATCCTTTAATTTCTCAACTTTTCCCACTAATACTGCGAAACACTGCATAAAATCTTTAAAATAATCCATAGGATATAATACATTACATATTTTGTTTCAGGTTTTGATTGTGATAAGTAACAGTGACAGACCATCCTAATATATGTATTCACTTTATCATTAGAAAAAGGGGTTGTTCAAAAAAATCAATACACAGAAACCTTTTTTGAAAACTAAAAATTTTAAGAAATTTTTGTAATTCACAAATAATTGGAATTAAGTAATTTTCTCAGCTTAAGAGTTTGTATTTTTAAATGGATATCAATAATTAATCCATTAACATTGATGCTCGATTTCTGCTTTTAAGTTTGAGCTGAGGCTGATTAATGTTCAGTCAATTCTTCTTGAGCAGGGATTGGTGTCAATCAAAGACAAACCACAACAAGTGATTGTCCAGGGTGTCCATGAGCTCTATGATCTGGAAGAGACTCCAGTGAGCTGGAAGGATGACACTGAAAGAACAAATCGATTGGTCTTCATTGGTAAGTAACAAAGGGTTAACACTCCTATAACAAAGTGAGAAATATGTTTGAAAGGGATATCATGTGCCACTTAAACAGTATCCTCTTTTATAGCTAAGCTTATGGTCAATGTTTCGTCTTTATCATGTTATAACATTCATAAGAACTTGTTAGGCCTTTTGTTCTCTTTCAGTTTTAGAAAAGTGATTAATCTAAGCACCAATGTAGTTTTGATGTACTTAACTAAAAAGTTAAAGATGGAATCACTCAATTACTATTCTTTTTGTAAATTTCTAAACATCATAAAGCTTTTTAAAAATTGTAATTGATAGGTGAACTGCGTCATTTTAATAAGCATAATGTAATCACATCATATTTTGTTTTGTTTGCAGGCAGGAATTTAGATAAGGATCTCCTTAAACAGCTATTTATAGCTACTGTGACAGAAACAGAAAAGCAATGGACAACACATTTCAAAGAAGATCAAGTTCGTACATAACACTAGAAGCATTTCTTATCAAAAGGATTAGAAAATAAAGATAAGTTTCTACTGGGTATATTTCAAGCATTTATTTATTACTTTATTATGAATTCCAATATACTTTAAAATGGTATTTATAGCTTACATAAAATTTAGCAAATCTGTACTGTAAAACATTTGACATTCATACAGTTATATATACTGTCCTCTTTTTTTTTTAAGAATGGCATTTCACAAAAATATCTTTTGAAATTGGCTTTGGAGTTTACATATACTGAACGTGAAAATTTATAATGATGATAAAACTTTCAACATTGTCATTTTTTTCTTAGAACTTCAGCTGATTGCAGAGAGATATAATGATTATATTGTTATTAAATTTTTTTTAAAACAAATAAATGCCACCATTTTATTACGTGAAATAAAAGATTTGTTGTGGCAAGAGACTTTCAAAAGTGGAAGAAGTCTGGGTCAAAGAAATTAAACTATCTCTTATTCTTAATGCTAAGCCTTATTGGTAGTCAGTGTAATGAAACTTTGGCCATTTATTTTATAATGTATTTAGAAGAATTCAATTGTAGAGCTTTTAATTTTAAGTAGATTTTACTATTGGTATTAAATTCATCTTGGTTTTTGAACTTCTTTAGTTTTCAGTATAAGCTAAAAAGTGATGAAGTACATGGCTTTAGCTATAAACTTTAGCTAAGTTACAAAATAAGTTTTCATAGTTTAACAATATTTTTCAAAACTTTGTTTTTTTGTTTTTTGTTTTTAGAGAGACAGGGTCTTGTTCTGTTGCCCAGGCTAGAGTGCAGTGGCATGATCATAGCTCACTGCAGCATCAACTACTGGGCTCAAGTAATCCTCCCACCTTGCCTCCCCATTAGCTGGTACTACAGGCACATACTATCATACCTGGCTAATTTAAAAAAAAAAAAAATTTTGTAGAGATGGGGTCTTTCTGTGTTGCCTAGACTGGCCCCAAACTCCTGGCCTCAAACTATCCTTCCACCACGGCCTCCCAAAATGCTGGGATTACAGGTATGAGCCATGATACCTGGCCATAATCTTTATATAAATGGTTGGATAATGGCTCACTTTCTCCTATTCCTATTAAAGGCCACATAACTGTACCCAAATTGTAAGAGGAAAGCATAGATGGAATTTAAGGAGTACTTTTCCAAGCTAATGGTTGGTAGATATCAGAGAAGGCTACTAAAATTGCTTTTGGAATTTTTTTCCCCAGATTTTTAAATAAAGGAGTTAGATTTGTGTATTTTAAATGGTTGCAGTGGTCAGAGGCAGAAGGCTAATTGATTAAATTATCTCAGTTTGGGTATTCTTGTTTTCTTTTGGGTCTACCAGTGAGATTGCTAATTCTGATCTTCCTTACTCTCTATTCTATAGCTTTTTAATATAACTTATCTGTATACATAAAATTGTCTCCTGAATCCATTCTCTTAATTCATGGTTGAGACACTACACTTCTTTTGTGGCAGCAAATTGCTCAATAGAAAGCCAGCTGATTTTCGAGTAAGATCTGGGCTTTAATTCCAGCTTTTCTGCTTCTTAGCTGTGTAATCATGGGCAAAGTATTGTATTTACTCTACCTGAGATTACTTTCCTTACTTGGGGTAATGATAGTAACACCATTCAAGGATTAAATAGGTTTGTAATGCACCCAGCTCGGCTCCTGGAACATAGCAGAGCCTAGGTAAATGCTTTCCTCTTGCTAATAAGTTAAATTTTTTTTTTTTTTTTTTTTTTTTTTTTTTTTNGAGTTTTGATCTTGTCGCCCAGGCTGGAGTGCAGTGGCACAATCTTGGGTCACTGCAACCTCTGCCTCCCAGGTCAAGTGATTCTCCTGCCTCAGACTCTCGAGTAGGGATTACAGGCGCCTGCCACCATGCCTTGCTAATTTTTTGTATTTTTAGTAGAGATGGGGTTTTGTCATGTTGGGCAGGCTCATCTCAAACTCCTGACCTCAGGTGGTCCACCCGCTTCAGCTTCCCAAAGTGCTGGGATAAATTTGTTTTATAATTAACTATAGTCACAACAATACTTAATATTCTTTAGCAAACCAGTAAGTGTCTAGAACTGTTGTTCTAGACCGTGAAAAGGAGCTTATAAGTAGTTGGCCTCTTATAGGAGAAATATTTGATATAATATTAATCTGTGCTCCTGAAAACCTGTGTTTATAAAACTGATAAATATATTTGTTTTTCCTTTAAAACAGGGGTGTCTAATCTTTTGACTTTGCTGGGCCACACTGGAAGAAGAAGAATTGTCTTGGGCTGTACATAAAATACACTAATAATAGCTGATAAGCTAAAAAAAAAAAAATCACAAAAACATTTCATAATGTTTTAAGAAAGTTTACAAATTTGTATTGGGCCATGTTCAAAGCCATCCTGGGCCACATTTGGGATGAAGGATGGACAAGCTTTCTTTTAAATGTATTAAATTAATCTTTAAATATTTTTAATTATATAAGTATTGCATAAATATGTTTTTGTTGTAAAAATGATGCCCATCACTTTTTAGTACAAAGCTAAAGTTCTGTCCTTTAAGACATTTCTTTTCACTTTCACATCATATTTCCCAGAGTGAATTATTTTTCAATGATCAGAGCCGTAGTTTAGGCTGCTGCTTCTGGAAACACAGAAGCTTGCCATAGAGATCTTCAAGGGAAGGTTTTAATTTTATAATATGTATGTGTTTTAAAACATTTTTAAAATGTATTATAATTCAGTTTCTTTCAAAAACAAAGCAAACTTAACTGTTAGTCTTAGGTCTTTTCATGATAGTACATATAAATCCGTCTTATTCTTTACTGAGTGAAAATTCATAGTTTAGCATAGAATACATTCATTGTATTAAAACCATTTATTGAGAGCTTCATTTGCCTTCATATTAGTTCTAGGGGTGAAACTGCACGCAACAGATAAAGGGCAGCTTCTCATATTGCTTACATTCTGGTGGAGGGACATAAATAAATGAAAAAATAGAAGGTAGCTTTAAGCTGGCTAATAAAAATAAAGATCAACTTTAGATTGAGTGGTCGTGGAAGGCCTCTCTAAGGAGAGGTGACTGTTAAGTTGATAACAGAATTAAAAGAAGTAGTAATTCACACAAAGTAGCGGAAGAGACTCTACACAGAGGGAGCATACAGGGCAAAGGCCCTTTATTTGGGCACCAACATAGTGTGTTGGGAGACCAGGAAGAAGGCAAAGGTGGTGGAGGGTTAGAAAGTGAGGATATGAGATAAAATTGGAGTTAATGAGCCGGGGCCAGGTTTCTTGCTCCTGGTAGGACAGAGTAAACATTTGGATTATTTTTGATGCCCTGGGAAGTGACTGAGGGATTTTAAGCTGGGGAAGTGATGTGAGCTTGATTGCTGAACAAAGAGACACACACAAGAAGTTGTTTCTGTTTTTGAAATTTTGAATAGTGCTTCAGTGAACCTTGTGTGTGTCTCTTTGTTCTTAGGTGTGAATGTTTCTCTAGAATAGGTAGATACATAGCAGTGAAAGCACCGGCTTCTAAAATACGCACATTTAAGATTTTTAATAGATACTGATGAATGGCCATTCCAGACAACTGAACCTTTAGCTTTCATATAGTAGTGTAGGAAAATACCTGTTTTTCCAAGCCCAACTGGCACATTTTAACTCTTGCCAATCAGGATCTCACTTTTATTTTGGTTTTTAAACTGTATCTTTAATGTTGTTTATATATTTTTAGTGTGTGTTGTCCTGTTCATTATTCTTATTGTTTTCAAAATGAAGTATTTTCCAATGATCATAGCCATAGTTTATTTAACCTGTACCTTCAGGAGACTTTGGAACTTAATATAGATATCCTGAAGAGAAGGTTTATTTTTATAATGGAATCATGACAATAATGTGGGCCATTATTTTGCTTGCTATAGGAGACTTGCAGGAAATGATGATGATGATGATGATCAAGGTTTCATCCAAAACTTTATAGTTTACTGAGGGATACAAGATAAATTATTAAATCTCTCTGAGCCTTTGCTTCCTTATTCATAAAATGGAGATAACAAACGCACATCTCTCTGAATTGTTCCAGCGATTAAATTTAAGGCACCCTGAATACAGAGTCTCAACAAATGTGGATTTCCCTTTTCCAGCAAGGCTTGATGTGCAATTCAAGCTTCTGCACACCTTAAAACAAATGGGCCTTTCTGAGGCTTTCACCAGCTGTGAATGAAAGGGGCAAGAAAATTGGCACTGATTTTAAGATAGCTGTAGGGAGCACAAGGCACAGGGGAAGACCAGGTGATTGAAAGGGTCACTTTGGTAAAGGAGCTTGATGCCTTTCAGTTTTCCCTCTCTCAGCAGCTATCAATAATGTGTGAGTTAGAACAGACCCTCCAAATAGCTCATTTTCTCTTGTTACTGCTAAGCAGACTTGGCACCCGAAGGGCTTTTAATTATCTTCCTTTCTTGCTACCCAGAGTTGTTTTTCTGATTGCTTGCTTCAAACATATATATTATTTTATTGTTTAGTCTTCTTACAGATTTTTGGGTAAAAATTGAGAATAAACAAAAATATCTTTTTTCCTAGAGTCTGTAATCCCTAGATAGTGAATTTTGAAGGCAATTGTCAACAAAATAAAGCTAAAAGCAATATTTTAAAGCAATAGTGATCAATACTTTGTAACATTATGGGCTTAGCTGCTTTCTACAAATTGAATAATTGTTTCCTTTGGATTAATGGTATAGTAGGGAAAGTTTATTTTTAAATTGCTTTGAAATGACTTTCCCAGTTTTAGAAATGTATACATTAGTGCAGTTGATATGGAAAAAAAAGTGAATTCTATCTTCAAATGTCTGGAAACTCACCCTGCTTTAATGAGGAGAGATATGGTAGAGTTCTCAGAATGTATCTTAATATTAGAATCAACCTTACCTTTAACCCTGATGACCAAATTGTGTTTAATTTTTAGGTTCAAATAGAAATATGACATCATCATCCTTCTTGTAGATTAATTTAGAAAGGTTTGTTTTTCAAAGCAGAGGACATCTTATGAACCCCTGATATGTTTGTTCTGAAAAACAAAAAACAAAACAAAACAACTATTCAACCTTAGAAGTAACCACCAAACATTATTGAGTGCCCACTATGCACGAGGCCCCGTGTTTAATGTTGCAGGAGCTACAAAATAAGATTTGATTCTTTTTTTTTTTTTTTTTTTGAGACGGAGTTTCACTCTTGTTACCCAGGCTGGAGTGCAATGGCGCGATCTCGGCTCACCGCAACCTCCGCCTCCCGGGTTCAGGCAATTCTCCTGCCTCAGCCTCCTGAGTAGCTGGGATTACAGGCACGCACCACCATGCCCAGCTAATTTTTTGTATTTTTAGTAGAGACAGGGTTTCACCGTGTTGACCAGGATGGTCTCAATCTCTTGACCTCGTGATCCACCTGCCTTGGCCTCCCAAAGTGCTGGGATTACAGGCGTGAGCCACCGCGCCTGGCCTAAGACTTGATTCTTAAGGCAACACTATGGAATTGATGGGATAGGACAGTAAGGGTTCCTTTCTTCTTTTTTCTTGTTTAGAGTAATGTGCCATTATGGAATCTTTCCAAAGCATTCAACTTTTTATTGCTACAGCTCATTGTTTTTACATTGATATATTTGGTATAACAACTTTATTTAGCTATAATCCACACACCATAAAATTTATCATTTTTAAGGGGTACAATTCATGATTTTTAGTATACCCACCATTGAGTCTATCTACTGTACACCACTATGACCAGTGTCTAATTCCAGAACATTTTCACTACCTCAAAAATAAACCCTGAATCTCTTAGCAGTCACTTGCTGTTTTCCCCTGCCCTCATCCCCACTCTACTTTCTGTCTCTATAGATTTGTCTATTTAGACTCCCTTCACATAACACAGTGTTTTCAGGATTGATCCATGTTGTGACGTGTCAGTACTTCACTGTTATTGCTGAAAAAATTTCATTATATACCTCATTTTGTTTATCCATTCATCAGATGGACACTTTAGTTTCTTCTGGGCTGTTAGGTCCTTCCCCACCCATGTTTAATTTTTTAAATTAATAGAATGTATTTTTAGAACAGTTTTAGATTTACAGAAAAATTGAGCAGCTAGTACTGAGTTCCCATCTATTCCCCCCTACACACACTAACAAAATAGTAGTATGGGACATTTATGTTACAATTATTGAACTAATATTGACACATTATTATGAAAGTCCACAGTTTATTCAGATATCCTGAGTTTTTAACCTAATATCATTTTTGTGTTCCAGAATCTCATTTAGGATACCATGTTACATTTAATAGTCATGCATCCTTAGACTCCTCTTGCCTGTGACAGTCTCTTAGAATCTCCTTGTTTTGATGAACTCGACAGTTTTGAGGAGTATTGGTCAGGTGCGCAAGATGCTCCTGTGTTGGAATTTGATGTTTTCCTCATGACTAGGGGTTTTGGAAGAAAAATCACGGAGAACCATTTTCATCACATCATACCAAGGGTATATGCTATTACCATGATTTATGACTATTGATGTTGACATTAATGACCTGATCACCTGGCCGAAGGGGTGTTTGTCAGGTTTCTCCACTGTAGTTACTTTTTCCCCCCTTCTATGTCCTGCTTATGCTAAAGGAATGGGGAGTTGCAGTCTACTTTTTTGGGAGTGGAGTGGCTACATAATTAGCTGAAATTTTTCCTCAAGGGAGAGTTGTCTCTTTCCCCTTGTTTATTGATTCAATCATTTATGTTTATCAGTGTGGATACATGAATATTTTATATTTTGGGTTACATTTTAATTCTGTGTTTTGTTTCTCAAATTATCCCAGCTTTGGCCATTGGGAACTCTTTCAGTTTTCTCCTGTGTCCCCTTTGAAATACCCCCATCAATGTGGGTTTTGTGTTTTGTTTTGTTTTTGAGTACCTCCTTATTTTTCTCCTTTCATTTTTAAGTAACTCCAATCCCTATAGAAGTTGGGGCTAGAAAAACTTAACAATGCTCCCTATCGCAGGTCATCCAGTTCCTATGCTGTTGGAGGAAATGTGCCTCACCCGCAAAGGGCTGGGGAGGAGGCATCTGGGATTATTGTGGTTGAATAAGACACCTGTCCTGGCCCTCCTGGAGCTTAGTTTAGTAGGTCACACAAGTAGTCATTGGTAAATTTGGGATTCAAACAAATCTGTTAGGCTCAGACCTGCCTGTTACTTGTCCTCCAAGCTGCATATAAACTGAGGAGCCTTAAAGGGTAAAAACTTCAGGAGCAGAGAAGACAAAAGTTTTAAAACAAGATTTGCAAGAAAGCTGTTTTCCAGATTTTATTCCGAAGGCATTAGCTACTTTAAGCTATTTTTTGTTATATTTTGCCCTTGTAGTTGGCTTCTGATTTCTTACTGAACATTCATTGTCATAATTATAGACACTATGTGACAATCAATGGCATATTTTGTGCTGCATTTTTATTAAATGGCACCCCGAATTTTTCCCAAGTAGGTAGGTTTTAAATTATGAATATATACTGTGACATGGTATCTTACTTAGTACAGTACTCTAATAAGATTCTTATTTATATAACAAATATTAAGTTTTATTCCTCTGTAGTGCTACTTTATGAGCTAATTTAAATGAAGCCAATCTAAAAATCGTGTTACTTCTAAGGATGTTGAGTAAGTTGAACAATTCCACTGCCATATCACCCCTCACCAGTGCAGATTGTAAACGAGAACCCACTGATTTAAAGACAACACTGCAGCCCCTTCTTGCCTCATTGAAGTTCCTAGTTTTATCATTACAGTAAAAGCCCTTAATGTTGGCACTTCTGACAGAATGAAGGAAGAGCCAGAACCAGGCAGAGTAGTGTGAGCCTGTAATCCCACCTACTCAGGAGAGTGAGGCAGGAGGATCACTTGAGCCCAGGAATTCAAAGCCAGTCTGGGCAACATAGACCTTGTCTCTAAAAATGAAATGATTAGGAAGAAGGAAGGGAGAGAGAAGCCATTATAGACTGCGTGTATCTTTTCTATGTGGAGCCATTTTGTAAGAACAGCATTTTTTCAAACTGGGCCCGTACTGGTACGTGTGAAATCAGTTTAGTTGGTTATGATCATATTTTTAAAAAGAAATATCAGTAATCACTATAGTGTAATTATATTGTTATGTGAAACCCATCTTAGATACGTATGTCTGTATGTGCAAGATTGTGATCTAAAATGCATTTCTTACTGTGGTTAAATATTCAAAGAAGTTGGAGAACCATTACTGTAAGGGCACAGAGGACTCCACGTGAGCTCTTCTGCCTTCCCTGAATGAACTTCCACAACTTAATGCTAGGACATTTCAACCTTTTCTAAAAATGAGAGTCGGAGAACATCTTGGGGAGGAGAGGAAAAGGTAAAAGCGGCAAAGCAACACCCTCGCACCCTACCTCAAACCCCCCATTCAGCTTGGGAATGTTGTCAGAACCTTAAATATAATTCAGCTCACCATTCTGGATAAGGACAGACTCTACCAAAGAAAATGGGTAATTACCCAGCTGTGAAACACGAAAACGTACTTTTACGGCTACACATTCCTTTACAAACCACTGTGTACATTTCAGCCTCCCCGCCTCCTGCCCACCCAGCCGCCATTTCTTTTCTCCAGGAGAGAAAGCTGCATGTCTAAGTGGTCATAGATTGTTGAGTATCATACTTTCCTACCTCGTTTTTATTTGCGTGGTTTTAATTGCGCCTTAACAGAACCCATGCAAAGCCCGGCCAACTAGCTGGCTGCGCTGGAGGAGTGGAGCATCTTCCTTGGTGGCAGGTGGGTGCGAGGAGGAGGGGGCTGGGCTTTTATCAGGTCGGATATTTGCCCAGCAGACCCTCATCATTGGACTGCGTCAGGAGGAAGTGGCACCACTCCGAGGTAGGGGAAGAAGGATTATAAAGGGGGAGTCCACCACACATGGTCTTGAAGAAGCTTTTATAAAAGACAACGTGCATACTTTGCTGGACGTTGTTGGAAAGGAGTAGAAACAAGCAGACGAAAACATCCCAAAGGGTAACCACTAGTGTTCTTGCAACATTAATCCCAGGCTTCCAGCCCAGCCCACCCCAGGCCAGGTGATCGGCCGCCACATCCCCTGCGACTGAAGAACCTACTCCTCCATGGACTTGCCAAGAGCTGAGCGCCTTCGTTCCACACTGCAGCGCAGCCTCCGGGACTCCGATGGGGAAAACGGTAAAATCAATGCCCTGGGAGAGGAGGTAAATGAAGACGAGGAGGAGAAGGCAAGCCAGCAGTTCCTAGAGCAGCAGCCCCAGCCGGGGCTGCAGGTGGCGCGGCGGAGCGGGGGTGAGCTTCCCAGAGAGCACAACGAGGGCAGCGGCGGCCCGAACGACCCCTCGGACTTTGGCACCGAGTTCAGGATACCGCCGAGGTATGCGGCGGCCTCTGGAGACGCCCCGCAGCCCGCAAAGCCCCCCTACTCGTACATCGCGCTCATCACCATGGCCATCCTGCAGAGCCCGCACAAGCGCCTCACGCTCAGCGGCATCTGCGCCTTCATCAGCGGCCGCTTCCCCTACTACCGCCGCAAGTTCCCGGCCTGGCAGAATAGCATCCGCCACAACCTCTCGCTGAACGACTGCTTCGTCAAGATCCCCCGCGAGCCGGGCCACCCAGGCAAGGGCAACTACTGGAGTCTGGACCCCGCCTCCCAGGACATGTTCGACAATGGCAGCTTTCTCCGGCGCAGGAAGCGTTTCAAGCGCCACCAACCGACCTCGAAAGCCCACCACCTACCCCACCCCTTCCCTCTACCCGCTGCTCCGGCCGCCCTGCACAACCCCCACCCGAGCCTTCTGCTTGGGGCTCCTGCCCCGCCGCAGCCTGTCCCGGGGGCCCACTCCACCGCCGCGCCCGGGAGACGCCCGTGCGCTCTGCTGCACCCGCATCCTCTTCGCTACCTACTGCTCTCGGCCCCCGCCTATGCAGAGGCACCGGGGAAAGCAGAAGGCGCGGACCTGGTGACCCCTGGCACCCTTCCGGCTCTGCAGCCCTCGCTAGGTCCCCAGCCTTGGGAGGAGGGCAAAGGTCCCGCGTCGCTACCAGGAGGTGGATGCATCTCTTTCAGCATTGAGAGTATTATGCAAGGGGTCAGGGGCGGCGCTACAGGGGCTGCGCAGAGTTTGTCCCCGACCCCTTGGAGCTACTGCCACCTGCTGCAGCGCCCTTCATGCCTGTTGCATCCCCAGACCGCTGCCCCTTTGCTGCACGTTTCCGCCGCCGCCGCTGCTCGGACAGTTTTGCAGCAACAGCAGCAGCATCAGGAGGAGGAGGTCTGCGCGGACGGCTGCGCTCCCACCAAGGGCGCGGTGCTGGGAGCAAACCTGTCGGCCGCTTCTGCGCTGCTTAGGTACCAGGCAGTGGCAGAGGGCTCTAGGCTGACTTCGCTGGCTGTCCCTTTGGGTGGAGAGGGGACTTCACCGGCTTTCTGAGTAGCACTCACGCCCAGTTCCCTGGCCAACTCTGCAGGGCGCTCCAAGAGCTAGGTTGGAGGGCGGAGCGACCCGCAGCTGCTCATTCCACCTTGCGCGGCCCAGACTGGGCCTGTGCATTTTTGAATCGCGCTGCAGAGCAAACACAAACTTCTGTTCGCTGCAAAATGGTTAGAAAAACAGCTGGATTCCGTTCCTCTAAAGACTACCTGAACGTAAACTTCGGAGGGCGTCAAGTCATCTTTTCTTGCCTTCAGTTGTGGTTTCCACGGATTTCCCGATTTGCACATTTCCTGGGGAACTATGAAAGTGAGTGGGGTATTTTGTTCTGGTATTAAAAGAAAAACAAGCAAGCAAACAAAAACACAGCCTCCGACGCCAAACATGTTCCCCCTTCTTCACTTCCTTGGAACTGGAAATATTATTCCGAAGTGCAAAATGCGTCCACCCTCTGTGTCTTCCTGATAGGGATGTGTAATGTAAGTAGGATGTTACTTTCAGAACATTGGTATCTGTGTGACTGACGTGCCATCTTTCATGTTAAAATTAAGGTATTAAAATTAAGCCTAGTTATATAGACAAAATAAAATGCTAAGTCACTACACTACATCGTTTATTTTCTATTACGTCTCATTCTTCCCTTTCTAAAGTGGAGCTTGTTTAAAACCTACGTTATTTTCTGTTTATTTTTCACAATTCATATTTATCATACATATCAGAAGTAATCCACTTTAATATGGCCTTTAAAAATTCCAAATATTTGAGGTTGAAAAAGTCTTGGCTTTTAAAATAGGAAATTTACTATTTACGAGACCTCCAGAAGAAAAGAATAGGAAGGCATGTAAATACATTCTCCATTTATTTTTTCATCTTTATAAAGACGCTGATTTCCGCCACCTCCCGCCCCCCAACAAGCTGGAAAACCATTTCAGATCAATTTGGAATGTAATGGCCAACACTTACTCGGAGAAAATAAAAGGCAATATATATCTTTTAAAGCACTAGAATTTTCAAAACTTACTTATTTAAAAAATTTCTGAAAGGACTTTGCAACTAGAAAGGTTAAGTGTTACTCGGAGTCAGGGCACCGGGGTGGGGGGAAACCAGACAAGAACGCCCATCAGGAATTGCTCCCCAGGAAGGAAGCACATTTCTAGGAACTCAGACGTTTTCCCCAGTCCTGAGTAGGGTTCCCAATTCCGTGCCAAGTTTTGGAGGGAAGTCGCTCTGTGAATGTGAGAAAGTTGCTCCCCCAACCCCCATCTACTTGCCACCCTCAGCTATGAATTTCTTATTTCAGGAGGGAGGACGAACATGGAGACACACATTTTTGCAGTAGTCTAAGTGGCCAATTTTTACTATGGCTTCTCTTCTCCCTCCCATCCTCTTGCGCTACCTGAGATCCCCTACGGGAGATTTCCTCTGGGCTCCTGCGCTTTTGAGGACGTTCCGGAAAGTTCCCAAGCCCCACCCTTGGTAGCCGCCCTGACTCCAGCTTCCAATTGTTTCCTCTTCTTTGCACAGATAGCCGTCAGCCCCGGACCACCACCAGCGTCCAAGATAGACCACTTTAGCAAATTCGTCAGGGCTGGAGCAGTTCAAGAGTTTGGAAACAAACTGATAATAGAGGGGTCCTATTTAATGCCACATTCTCTCCGGTTCAAGTTCCAACTCCCCTTTGCCCTTTGTGCGAAACTTTCCCCGGGCCGAGCTTTGTTCCTTTATTCAGTCAACAAACGTCCGAGGAGTGCGGCTATAGGCGGCCGCTGAACCCAGAAAGGGCTTTCTCTAAGCTCTCTTGGTACCCTCATGTCTTTCTTCCCTTGTCCGAGGCAAGACCAACACTGCCAATAAAATTCGAACATGGGTGACTGAGGGTCAGACCCTGGCCCGGGGCCGGCCTTCCGGTTCCTAATTTTTACCTAATGAAACCATATCCAGAGATGAATCTTTAAACAATCGATTCAGTAGCGGAGTAAATTCCTGTTTGGAAGCACCCAGGCGGCGTGGAAAGATCTGGCCTTCGGGTGTGACCCGCAGGGAGTTCCCTCGCGGAACGGGAAGGTCGCGGGCGCACCGACGAACCCGCCAACAACACCGAGCACTAGCCGGGCAGCCCAGAAGTGGAGGCGCCGCAGCTCCCCTAAGCATGGGCGCGGCCCTGAGGCGCGTAGTGCACGGCGCGGTAACAAGGACCGGCCGCCTTCCTGAAGGCACAGAGCAAGAGGCCATACTCTGGATCCCAGGCCGGGTCCCCGTGGTTCTGCACGGACCTCCCGGACGCCTCCCAGATTCCGGGCTTCTGTAACCCTGAGGCCGGGTTTAAAAACCACGGCGCTTGCAAGTTGCGCGGAGTCCAGGGTCGAGGGTCGAGGGTGGTCTTCCACCCTGGGGATCATCTTCTCGATGACTGGCTGATAGCCAAGCCTAGAGTTGCACAGGGAGGGGAGCCGAAGAGCTGGAGCCGCGCGCCAAGGGCTGGGAGGAGCGGGGAGGCTGGGACAGGGACAGAAGGAAAACTGGGGAAAAGTGACCCCCACACACACACTGTCCTACCTGCTGATGACACTAATAATAACAATCTTGGCCGACTATTTCCCCGCTGCTCCCGAAGTGCCAGGCACGGGATCCTCCGTTAGCACTTCCAGAGCACTCACTGAAGAAGACACTGTAGCAAATTCTCCATTTTCCAGACTAGGAATAGGCGACTCGGAAAAATTAAAAAAACTCGCCAGAGGACACTCAGGCAGTAGCACCCTGCCGGGCTTGCTCTCTGAACCACTAACTTCACGCGCGCACGCTACCCTTTCGTACCTGGGCCTCTCGCGGGTCTCAGGGGTCGAAGCCTGACCTGGACCAGGACCCCAGATTCTTCCTCCTGGCCTCTGTCCCACGAGCCCCGGCGCCAGGAAGCGCGTTTCTCTCCCTGAGACCCAGCCCCGTCGAAAGATGCGCGCGGTCAGGTCCCTAACCCCGCGCTCTGGCTGTGAGTTTTCCGGGAAGCCTCTGCGGAGCGTGGGAAAGGCGCAACCAGACTCCCCCGGGCCGCGCCCCGGCCCACGCCTGCCTAGAGCACTCCGCTTCACCAAGGAGCATTCTGTGCGTCCTTCCTCCCTGGCGTGATTTTCGTTCTTTTTCCTCTCGTGGTCCCCTGGAACCCAGGTACCCCTCGACGTAGGCGCCAGCAGTACCGGAGATCCCTCCCCTGGACTCCCTGCGGTCCCGATGCCACCTCCTAATCCCAGCCGCCTACCCAAGGCGGTGGAGTGGGGCAACTCGGTGCTCTGCGCCGCCCCAGGATGCTGGAATTCCTCTCCGTAGTCTTGATCCGGCTATCCGCTTCGTTGCCCCGCGCTGGATCCTGGCAGCCTGAAATGTGTCCACAAGCTGGGCTGTGCGGGCCTGCGGTGAAGGTCCAAGAGACGAGCGGGCAGGGGGACGCAGGCTGTCGCAAGGATTAGCCCTCCGCGGACCCTCAGTTCAGAAGGTCCTGGTCTACAGGAGTGGGGGAGATGGTGGCCCCTGGAGAGGAGAGAAGGTCCGGGAACCGCTGGACTAGGGTCCCCGGCGGCTGGCTGAAGGCCGCAAGCAGAGGGGCCCGTCGATTGCCAGCAAGTCCCAGGCAGGTGCCGTCTAGTATGGTGGTAACATTCTACAGTCCCGATTCTGTGTACTTTGAGTAGCCAAAATGAATAAAATCTGTTTATATATTGGAATGCAACTGATGATTCCAAAATCTCATCTCCAGGCTGCCTAGATCACACGGCCCCCATTCCTTTCATTTTTTACTTAATAACGGGCCGTTAGAAAATTTAGAGAAACAGAGAAACCACGAGAAAAATAATGGAATCAAATGGCGGTAAGGACTAACAAGGCTGGCAGGGAGATTTGGCAAATGGTGGCTCCTAAGATTTTGCACCAGTCCTTCACCACATTTTATTGGAAGTGTGGGGGAGTCATGGTTCTCATACCTCACCAGCTTTCAGGAAAAATGCTCAGAAATTTTTTTCCACTTTAACATCTGATTACAGTGTAAATAGTAACCTTATTCTAATTGTTAATGTCACCTCATAATTTCTACAAAAAAGTTTTTCTGGGTATTTTTTTCATGTAATCACTGAAATTATTTTAATGGATTTTAAGCATTCATTGATTCTGTATACACCACCTGCAAAGAGCTTACATAGGGGATTGCTAACAATACCAAAATTTGCCCCATCCAAAAAAACAAATTAGAGTAGAAAAAGAAAAAGGACTTGAGAATCCAGTATGAAATTCAGTTAAATGTTAGTTCCCTGTTACTCAGCTACCTTAATATTGTCAGGTTTACCTGAGCACGAACTTCATTTTCTTAATCGTTCTTAGCACGCAGGGATATGTTTATTGAAGTCAGTAATTAATAATATTTTGGGACAGTTATGATTTACTTAGCCAGTGAAGCAGTTTCTACTCCCAAATGCAGGCAAAGAGAACAATAAGATTAAACGTAGCCTAAGAGATTTCCTTTTTGTCAAATACTGTGTTTTTGCTATGTATATAGATGTTTATATATAAGGGCATATTTATGACTAGTAGTTCCTAAAATTAAGGGGACTATTATTGTGTTATTCAAGGTATCAGTTGGAACCTTAAAGAAAATATAAGCATTATTTGAAATATGACATTACTTATGTATCTTAAGATACATATGTCATAATGTATAAGATACATATTTTCTTTAAGTTTAAAGAGATTACTGTAATTAACCTCTATTTACTTCTCCTCTGGGCCAACCTTGTGTCATCTTTATCCTCTGACAGTCCTCTCCCCACTGAATTATTTTGAATCAAATCCCAGATATTCTATGATTGTATTCATAAATGTTTTTGAATATTTCTCTAAAAGATAATAATTCCATCAGTGAGCTGGGTGCAGTGACTCCTACCTGTAATCCCAACCCTTTGGGAGGCAGAGGTGGGATGATCACTTGAGGCCAGGAGTTCAAGACCAGCCTGGGCAACATAGCAAGACCCCATTTATAAAAAAGAAGATTCCTATCAATGTAACCACAATGCTATTATCAAACCTAAATAATCCATTAATAGCATTAAATTATCCAGGCAATATTTAAATATCCTCAGTTATCTAAAAACTTTTTGTGTAGTTGGCTGGTTTGAATTAGAATGCTAATATGGGTTATGTATTGTGTTTGGTTGATATGGTCTATTATGTCTCTTTCAGATTTCCTCAATCCTCTTTTCTTTTTCCTTGCATTTTTGTGAAAGAAATTGGAATGTTTTGAAGAACTTGACACTCTGAACTGTGTAGCTGCAGGTAATAGTTTTTTGGTTTTGTTTTTGGCAAGATATTCCCAGGGATAAGGTCGTTTATTCAGAATTTGAATTAGGAAATAATAATAATATTAGCAAATAATAACATAAGCAAATAATAATTAGAGGGAGAAGGATTAGTCAAAATATTTTGAAGAATCAACTATTGGAAAAACAAATTTTTATCAGAGCAAGCATGGATTTGGGAAAGCTTATGTGAAATTTATCTAAATGCATATACAATTTAAAATTGTAATGTCTTACAATAAAAAAGGTTATTTTCCATATATTTATAAAA